CTTCACATCGCGAGATTGCACGAGAGTCCACGAGAGTCCACGGGATTAGGTGCACACGCCGGGCTACCTTCAACATCGCGAGATTGCACGAGAGTCCACGAGAGTCCACGGGATTAGGTGCACACGCCGGGCTACCTTCAACATCGCGAGATTGCACGAGAGTCCACGAGAGTCCACGGGATTAGGTGCACACGCCGGGCTACCTTCAACATCGCGAGATTGCACGAGAGTCCACGAGAGTCCACGGGATTAGGTGCACACGCCGGGCTACCTTCAACATCGCGAGATTGCACGAGAGTCCACGAGAGTCCACGGGATTAGGTGCACACGCCGGGCTACCTTCAACATCGCGAGATTGCACGAGAGTCCACGAGAGTCCACGGGATTAGGTGCACACGCCGGGCTACCTTCAACATCGCGAGATTGCACGAGAGTCCACGAGAGTCCACGGGATTAGGTGCACACGCCGGGCTACCTTCAACATCGCGAGATTGCACGAGAGTCCACGAGAGTCCACGGGATTAGGTGCACACGCCGGGCTACCTTCAACATCGCGAGATTGCACGAGAGTCCACGAGAGTCCACGGGATTAGGTGCACACGCCGGGCTACCTTCAACATCGCGAGAGTCCACGAGAGTCCACGAGAGTCCACGGGATTAGGTGCACACGCCGGGCTACCTTCAACATCGCGAGATTGCACGAGAGTCCACGAGAGTCCACGGGATTAGGTGCACACGCCGGGCTACCTTCAACATCGCGAGATTGCACGAGAGTCCACGAGAGTCCACGGGATTAGGTGCACACGCCGGGCTACCTTCAACATCGCGAGATTGCACGAGAGTCCACGAGAGTCCACGGGATTAGGTGCACACGCCGGGCTACCTTCAACATCGCGAGATTGCACGAGAGTCCACGAGAGTCCACGGGATTAGGTGCACACGCCGGGCTACCTTCAACATCGCGAGATTGCACGAGAGTCCACGAGAGTCCACGGGATTAGGTGCACACGCCGGGCTACCTTCAACATCGCGAGATTGCACGAGAGTCCACGAGAGTCCACGGGATTAGGTGCACACGCTGGGCTACCTCAACATCGCGTGGACGTTGCGCGCCGAGCTCATGTACAAGTGGACCTGCCGCCTCCTCACCACATGCGCGCCAAGGGTCC